ATATCATCCTAATTTTTTTTTTTTGTATGCATCCTGTATCTGTAGTCGACAGCAACAGATCAAATGTTGCAAGAACTGCAGGCACTGTGTCACATCCTATGGGACCAACTCAAGCAAGTTATACAAACACTTCACTAACCACCATTGGCAACCTGGTCCTATCTTATCAGTTGGCGATTCATTGTGTGGGTTTCAGTATGGTGGTTTTACGGTGAGCATGAAAAAATATGGGCAATCAGTTCATTGGTTTTTAATTGTGTCCATCAGCAAGCCAGTGACTTTTTGTCCGTCATTAAAAATCCACCCTGTTTTCCATAGATCCTTATTGATACTGGTATCAGTTAATCCTGGTATAACCCTAAACCCATGGTGCTAATCCTCACCTCCTCTACCTCGAGTTATCATACAGGGTGAGGCAGAATATGAAGTCACCTGCATTTTGGACTCTTGGAAGTTTCATGGAAGATAACTAGTATATTACTGACTACCAGGCTTTCAGCGTATAATTGTGGTGACTACAGGCTCTCAGATATCTCTGCGTGAGGAGTCAGACTCAGCCCAGGGGGCTGCTGATTAAGATAGCAAACAATCAGACCCTGGCTTTATGAAATGCCAAGCCCTAAATTACTCTGCCAGTTAATGAGCAGCAGAGATCAGCATGACTCAAGAGGAGGGAATATCAACTGCTCTAATTACAGGAACTCTGGCTATATAAGGAGAGCCTCCAGATTCTCTGCCCTTGTTGGAAACAACCCTCCTATTCTTCAGTGTTGTTCCTGTGAATTCCCATCCTTTGGCTTGACTTCTAGACTGGTTTTCTGTCCATTTCTCTGGGTCTTGACCCATGGACTGTTCTTGGATGATCCAGCTTTCCTGTCTTCAGTTTCTTCAAGCAAGTACATTTATACCAATGATGTAGTTTACCCAGAAAGAACTCATGCCTTCTATTTTTCCAAGCCTTTGTTCTTTGTTTAATTTTTGCCTTTATTTCTATCTGAGTTTCTGTTGAATGATTTTTGACAGGTCAATAAAAGATCACTAACTTGTAACCGCTTTGCTTTTTCTTTACCTTCAATCTAAGGCTTGCATAGGACAGTAAGGGGAAGACTGAGAAAGTTATGGTTGAATGGAGTTGATGAGATCTTTAGAAAGAGAGACGTGAGAAGAACAAAAGACAATGTATGAAGCATTATATGATTGCAATGGAATCAAGGATGGTTGGCCAGGACAGAATGAAGAAGGGAATTATATTGGTGTAAATTAGTGTTAGATATGTTTCTTTTTCTTATTCCATGCCTTTAATTTCTTTGGCTTACTATTTTTAACTTTTTTTCTACACTTTTATCCAAGCTTATCCTGAAAGGGAGATGAGTGATAGCTCTGCATGAATGAATGTATGTATTCATGCAGATTTTAACTTTTTTCTTTTATCACTTGCTCCTTAGGCCTCTCTCATTGTCACAGAAGAACTCCATCTCATTACCTTTGAGACAGAAGTTTACCACCAAGGTTTGAAAATTGACTTAGAGGTAAGAACCGGTTATATCGGTTTTGGGGTTGGCTGGTTCCCTAGTCTTACCTTTGATCAATATTATCTGGTCACAGGCTGAAATAATATCACCATCTCTTGGATTTTATTGTATTTAA